TTTTCCCTCTGACCCTCCCCCCTCTCATGTGCTCTCTTTCTGTCTCATTCTTTCTCTCAAATAAATAAATAAAATCTTTAAAAAAAAAAACCTATCAAGAAGAGAAATTAAGAAAACAATCCCATTTACAATTGCATCAAAAAAAAAAAAGTGAGGAATACCTTTAACTAAGGAGATGATAGACCTACATGCTGAAAGTTATAAGACATTAATAAAAGAAGTTGAAGAAGACACAAATAAAGGGAAAGATATTCCATGCTGATGGATTTCAAGAATCAATATTGTTAAAATGTCCATACTACTCAAAGCAATCTACAGATTCAATGCAACCTCTATCAAGATTCTAATCACATTTTTCAAAGAAATAGAGCAAATAATCATAAAATTTGTAGAGAACCAGAAAAGACCCTGAACACCCAGAGCAACCTTGAGAAAGAAGAACAAAGCTGGAGGTACCACGGTCTTTGATTTCAAACTGTATTACAAAGTCATAGTAATTAGTACAGTATAATATTGGCATAAAAACAGATACATAGACCCATGACACAGAATAAGGAGCCCAGAAATAAACCCATGCATGCGTGGTCAATTAATTTATGACAGGGGAGCCAGGGATGTACCGTGGGGAAAAGATGGTCTCTTCGATAAATGGTGTTGGGAAAACTGCAACACTATCTTACACCATTACACAAAAATTAACTCAAAATGGATTAAAGACTTGAATGTAAGACCTGAAACCATAAAATTCCTAGAAGTACCACAGCAGTAAGCTCCTTGACGTCGGTCTTGGTGATGATTTTTCGAATCTGACACCAAAAGCAAAAATAAACAAGTGGGACTACATCATACTGGAATGCTTCTTCACAACAAAGGAATCCTCAACAAAATGAAAGGTAATCTACTGAATGGGAGAAGATATAAGAAGTGTATACACACACACACACACACATATATATATTTTACATATGCATGGTAGAATATTATTCAGCCATAAAAAAGAATGAAATCTTGCCACTTGTGACAAAATGGATGGATCTTGAGGGCATTATGCTAAGTGAAATAAGTCAGAGAAAGACAAATACTGCATGATCTCTCTTATACGTGGAATCTAAAAAAAAAAAAAAAAAAAAAAAAAAAAAAGCTTGTGGTTGCCAGAGGTGGAGGGTGGGGAGGGTGGAGAAATGGATGAAGGGAGTCAAAAGGTAAAAAGGAAAAAAAAAAAAAACATTGAACCACAGATATCCTCTGGGCAGCCAAAATGTTTTGAATATTTTGGCTGCCCATGGTTGAAGGTTGGGAAGCACAAGTGAATAGTAGAATTCTTAAGCAATGCTGTTGGACCCCCGTCTAGTGGACCCTGAGATTTGCCTGCCTGTGAGTGGGAACGGTGGGGTGTTAGGAGAGATCTGTGCGGCCCAGATAGAGCAGATTTGGACTAAATAAACCTGTTGTGTCAAAATTTAGTGGTGTTCCAGCGACACAGATAATGGATCGTGAGAAGCCCGCTGTCTGGGGTAACAGACACCACAGCTTACGGGGGGCCTGGGATGGGGTGTGCTCTGGGCTTCTGGCTTTCTCTGAGACCATCTTACTTGGCCCTCAGGAGGCCATTCTTCCCAAAAATACGTATCAGAGAAGAAGGAAACCACCCCTAATGTGACAGAAATATGCTAGGTATTGACGACAATTTGAAGTCAATGGAATTTCCCTATTATAAAGATGGGGATCTTTGTGTATGTGTGGGGGGCGCTCTATCAGGAGAACGGTATTCCATGCCTCACCAAGATGTCAGAACGCTCTTAATGGCAACAGGATTATAGGATTAAAGCCTGAAATCAATACACAATGGCTGACGTGTAAAGTACTTTTAGGGAGTATTCTGCACAGAGCTTCCACAAAACGCTCAGGGCATTGAGAGGACAGAGGTGAATTCATAGCAGTGTTGAGTGATCAGTCAGGCACACATAGTTGTGGTGAGGACTGAGGACAAGAGGAATTGAAGTTCTGAGTCTAGACAGGGCGGAGTGAACAGAGCAGTTAGAAGCAAGGTTGTGAAATGCATCGTCCAGAATGTCGTGTTTGCGGGATGCCAAACAGGGCCATGCCTCCTTCAGAGATAACCATGCAGGCCTGGTGTCTAGTTCTCCATCGTATTTCACAAGCTTCAAGAAACCTCCAGAACGCGTGCCCTGGGGGTGTCCGAGCCAGCCAGCCAGCCATCCCCTGAAACACCGCCACAGCTCCAGACTTCAAGACCCTCCTCTGCTTTGCTTCATTGACATCATTTTATCATGCGCACCTTGTATTGTTAAGTAGATGCAAGTTCTGTCTCCTTGGGGCCTCACGGTTGCTGTGAGGTAGATGTAAGGCAGGGGACGGCATTTCAGAGTTCGTTCTGCATTGGCTTATTTGCTTGGTAAGGAGTCCGATGTCTGCAGATGCAAGGGCTGGGAGAAACATTTATACTTTTTCTTTACATTTTGCCATGGGAGCCAAAATAGGCATCAACAGATTATCTGGCTGTTGAGCTGTTTCCTGTAGATCCCCCACCTGATTCCTATGGAATGCTGCACTTGATGAACAAGGCACTGGATTCCTCTGGTGCTCGGCATCCCACGACAAAGCATGAACTGGCATTCAAAGCAACCTCCAGAGATTGGTGTTTGCTTTGCCTTTAATATTTATGGACAAGAAAATCTGAGTCTCAAAATGCTCTCAGGGAACTGAATGATAGTACACTTGGCAGAACAGAATAGGATTGGAGGCTGAGCGCAGGTAATACTGGGCTGCTGCTGAATGGGATGGGTTTCCTTTATGTATTTTTTTTCATTTTTATTTTTTAAGTAAGCTCTATGCCCAGCGTGGGGCTTGAACTCACGACCTTGAGATCAAGGGTCGCATGCTCCACCGACTGAGCCAGCCAGATGCCCCGCTACGTATTTATTTTAAATACAGAGAGCCCATTGTTCATACGAAAGCTTCCCCGCAAGCTCCTTTTGTCAAACATGAGAGCGGAGTTGTCCAGAGGCTCTCATCCCCCCAGTCATTAATTCCTGCAAATGTTGGCTCTGGGGCCTTTGACGCGCCGGGAATTGTTAGGAGCTGCAGAAATGGGAAGTAATCGCTATCCCCATGGGTCCCACATGGTAACCGGGGAGACAATAAATAAATGTATAATAACCATAATAGCGAGCACGTACTGGATGTTCACTTTGTGCTAAGAACCTCCTAAAGTTCTTTCATGTGTAGTAACCCATGTGATCACTTTGTGAGGTAGGTACAGGTATTCACCCATTTTACAGGAGATAAGTGGAGGCAGAGAAGAATCAAGGAGTGTGTCCAAGTTCATGTGGCTTGTAAAGGGCAAAGGCAGGAGTCGAACCTGGATGGCATATCTCCGCCATACGTGGGCTGACTTCCTGGCTGCACCAGCCTCGGGGTGGAATACGCCCTGGGCACCGGGTGCTGGGGAGGTATACTGGTCAGGACAGGGGAGAAGAGGCTCCTAGGCAGAGTGTGGCTTCCATTTTGTTTTGCTTTGTTTTTTTCTTTTCTCTTCTCTCTCTCTCTCTCTCTCTTTTTTTAAGTAGGTTCCATGCCCAGCATGGAGCCCAGTGCAGGGCTTGAACTCACGCCCCTGAGATCAAGACCTGAGCCGAGATCGAGAGACAGTCAACTGACTGAGCCACCCAAACGCCCCACCATTTTGTTTTTAATTTGAAATTGGAGTGTTGGTTCTCTAAACCCTCTTTCTGCACTAACACTTACATGATTCAATTGAGCAGACCCTGGGGCAGGGGGAAGACTGAAAACTGATGTGCCCTTTAGCCTGCCAGCGCCCCAAACCCCACGCCCAGTAGGAGAAATTGCTCTGTGGAAACAGCTCATTCGAGTGTTGGCTTGCATTTATTTTTGGCATATTAGATACTGAGCACATGGTATTGCATCCACGGTCACTGGTCTTCACGGCCGCCATTTATATCATATATCCATTTGTTCGTAACTTTTGAAGGTTCAAAGAAACCCAAGCCCATTCTTGGCAGCAAGTAGGCTACTTCTCAAGATGGCAGACCGTGTTAGAAAGTGGGGTCGGGGGGGACAGTAAAGTAACCGCCAAACAGAGAAGGCCCTTCGAGACAGGGAAACAGAGCAGGCGACTCCATGCAGTTTACATAGAACTTTATTCAGGGCAACTTACTGATGGGGGATCGGGTGGAGAGTGATCCAGGAGCCCTGCAGTTACTCTCTGCAAAGTCCAGACATCAGGCTGCGGATTTTATAGAGCAAGCGACGCTGGGGCACTGCAGCGGGATCAGAGGGTTCATACGCACCTCAAAGGGTTTGCAGGTGCCTACTTGGCAGCTACACCTTTAATAAGCTCTTGTGGCCCCACCTGAGCACCAGGAAGGAGAGAGACTGTGCTATCTCTAGCAGATTCATGGGAGGCCAAAGCCAGCCTCCCCCATCCCGGCCTGGGCAGGTGATCCTAAGTTGTGTATGTCCGTCCCCAAAGTGCCCGGAACAGGTAGCCTTGAGAGAGGTCACCGAGTGGCCAGAGGTGCAGTCAGTGTCCTTGGCACCCCTAAAGACCGTCTTCTTGTCCACAGCAATGTGCTTCTTGACCCTTCCTTCCACTTTTCAGCGCCTAAGACCTTGTTCTGATGATAGGCTGACGTTTCAAGGAGGCTCGGTTCACATACCTGCAGTTTGGTCGGGAGTATTAACTGATTCTAGCTGGTACGTGGAGTTAAAGGTTGCAAGCATCCTCCGTTTCCTTCACGACGACGCAAATAAACCTGCAGCAGGAATCTGTCACGCAGCGTCGTATGCTGTAAGGCAAAGTGAGAATACGGGTTTTGCTCGGGGCATTCGAGCCCGTCAGTGGAAATGATATTGGAGGCTTGCATGGGTGGTCTGGCACTGTGTTCATGCTGGAGCATCCTCCCGAGAGAAGTCATCTCACACTGATGAGATTTTCTGTCTGTCTCTCCCCTTCGCAGGGCTGCCTGACAACGCCCAACTCCCCATCTGTGAATTCCCGTTCCATTACGTTGGGTCCATCCCTCTCACTCAGCAACATCTCAGGGGTGTCTGTGAAGTCGGACCTGAAGAAGCGGCGGGCACCCCCTCCTCCGACCCTGCCAGGCACGGGGCCACCAGCGCAGGACAAGGCCTTGGAAAAGGTAGGCAGAGGGCAGCTCTCGGGACCAGCACATCCACTAGATGGACCAGTGAGTTCTCTCTAGAAGTTCCCTGCGTGCCCTACGATCCTTCAAATCTGTGGCTTTAGCAGGGAGAGTGTTCGGGCCAATATTTAAGCTTTATGTAGAAGTAAAGGTGAGATGCCATGCTACTTCAGTTATGGGAGGTAGGAAACTTTTTGTGCTTTTAATCATTAGAGGTCTGTGCTTGCTGATTAGCATTTGTTCTACCTCTAGCGTTGAAATTTTGGGCATCGTCACCAATGCTTCATGAGAAAATTGCATGGGTCAGGGCACTGGAAGAATCTGGAGTCTGTATGGGATAGGGACGATAGGTGATATTAATATAAGATGCCCCAAATAAGTCAGAGTCACAGGACAGTGGGGAGTAAGTCACTTTCAGTGTAATACGGCATTTGCAGAGACCATGTATGTACGAAGTGTGCATGTTAAGTTTATCTTCAGAGCAACTTAATCCCTTTGCAAGAGGTTGTCATTGTGTGTGGCTGGGAAACAGCCTCTGTCCCCAGCAGCTGGGGTCTCGACTGGGCTTCTTTCCTGCCACCTGTCTGCAAGTGCCACCTTGCAGCGCTGTTGGAAATCCCCAAACCTCCCTTCCCAGGGGCCAGGCTGCTCCTTGGCCATGGCTCCTCTTCTTGGGGCTTGGAGTGGGACACCGTAAAACTGGGAAGTATGGTTTATATTCTCCAAATGCATCGTTCCTCATTTGGGTGGGCAGTGGCGGGGACAGTCCCCGGGGTGGCCAGGATGGGAGCGGGCTTTTGAATCCTAGAGAAGATGAGTTCCCCAAGGCAGACCAGCTCCATCCGTATTCTCAGACACGGGGTCAACCTGCAGAGTCAGTGAGGATGCATTGTTCTTCATGAAGCTCAGAGGTTTCCCAGTGATGGGCGCCCCGGGTTCCTGGCGGAGGCGGGGGGGGCGGGGACAGCCCAGCATGAACAGGAACTTTACAAAACACACATTTATTCTCCCATAGGGGCTTAATTTCCTTTCCTTCTGCCTTGGTGTCCCTTGGCTTGTCCCTGCTTTATATAGGCCGAGTGCTTCACATTCCTGCTAATCTTGGTTGGAACCCTTTTTTGCTCATTCCATAAAATGGCTCTTCTTTAAAATAAACTTGAAACTAAGTCTGTACCTCGCAGGTGGGAGGCTTGGCCCGGGATCATGGTTAGAAGTTATCTGAGGGGGACTCTGGAGCCGCAGACTTCTCACTTAGTTTCCTTTTTATCCTGGTTGTCTGTCTGTCCATCAGTCTTTTTTTTTTTAAAGACTTATTTATTTTAGAGAGAGCAAGTGAGCATGTAAGCAGTGGGGAGGGGCAGAGGGAGAGGGAGAGAGAGTCCCAAGCAGATTCCACACTGAGCATGGAACCCAGTGTGGGGCTTGATCTCATGACCCAGAGACCATGACCTGAGTCAAAACCGAGTCGGATGCTCAATCACGTATGCCACCGAGGCGCTCCCCGTCTGTCCATCAGTCCTAATCTTAACAAATCTTCCTCTCTCCCTCCAGGGGTGATCTTTATCCCCAGAGACTGCCCCCCTCCCCCGTTCCCATCTACAGACCTTTCCGGCCGCGCCCCAGTGATCTGTTGGAAAAGCCTACAACACGACATATTTTAAAAGAAAGTATTTTGAGTTTGGGGCTTCCTAAGCATTTTCTAATGCCACAAAGTTGTTTTGAGGTCTCCATGATATCTTAGCTATCTTCTGATGCGAAGAACTTTAGGCGCAAATGGCACCTCATTTGGTGGTACGCTTGCATGGTTAAAGGGTGTAAATCAAACACGGTGACTTCTGGTGGGTGTGTGCCGTGTGCCTCTTTATTTTGCTGGGGTTTAGAGTCTGAACTTTTTCATAACCCGCAGATCATATTTCTAGCATTTAGCACTTTTCAACCAGTCCCCTCTGGGGACGTCTTTTTGCTTTTGATTGGGAGGGATATTTCTTTCTCAGTGAAAATCACGAATTCCAGGATCATGATCACTTACGTTTTGTTTTTTTTTTTCCAATGAGAATCGCGTTTCCCTAATGTTATAGCATGTAGATGCTAAGCCAAATCAGCATTTTAAAACCGTCTTCCATCCAGAGAAGATGTGGTGTTTTTCAGATTTTAACGTACTTCTCCAGAGTGGATAAAGTCTGCTGGAATAGGAAAATGTATAGTAAGTAGAGAATCGGGAATTCTGAATGAAAAGTAAACAGTTCTCTATACCCTGAATAATGAACAGAGTTCCCTGTGAGGCAGTAAAAGCTTTTTACTGAAATCTATTTTATTTGGCACAGAATGAGTGGAGAAATTGGCTCACAGAAACCCTCTCCTTTTTTAAGCATATGAGTGGCATATGGATTAGATTTAAGCATTTGCTAGGACCATTTTTTTTTCCTTTTTAAAAGAAAGGTATTTTGTTATTTACTAATTTCTGGGAAAGGAACCCAAAAATGTATTGTTGTCATTGTTGGGGAAAAACGTCAATTCCTTCTTCATGAACTTCCTTCCATATAAAGATAAGATGTTTGTTTGGAAAGCCTTATTTATATGCAACTGTTGCTAACACCAATATCCTGAATGAAAAGGAAAGGCTTATTTTCAAGGACATGACTAGTTTTGGAAAAGGAAAATGCGTCTATTTTCTTATTTTAGAGGATTTTTTCTTATCATCTGGTCTGAAAAATTTGGGGTTTCTGTATTCAGGTCTTAGAGTGGGAATATTTTCAGCCACGTCCCGGCTCATCAGAAACATTTTCAAAAACGCGGTCTTTGTATGCATGTTTGTTACCTGATGATAGACTCACAACATGATCATCAGTATTGGTAATTTCTAAAAGTACTTTCCATAGAGCGGTTCCCAGAGGTGTTGGGGCCAGTGGAAAAGAAATTAACAGTGTCCCCGGGCAAGCCTGTTAGCAGAGAAATTGGCAAGACGGGTAAAGAAACGTGTTATCTTTCCATCTATCCTTCCAGAAGTGGCCAGACCAAGGTGTTCCCCTTTCCCAGTACCTTGAACGTAGTTCTAATCAAGTGGAACGTTCAGACAGGAATGATATATATGTGAGGGCATCATATGCTAAGTCAGTATTTTTCAGACTTAAGTGAGCATCAGAATCACCCCCAAAGGGCTTGTTAAAACACATTTTACTTGGCTCCACCCTGAGAGTTTCTGATTCGGGAGATCTGGGGCAGGGCCTGAGAATTGGCATTCCAGCAAGTTCCCAGGCAAACCCCACTTTGAGAACCTCCATGCCACAGACTGCCACTGCCCTGATCCACCCACGCAGATTTGGAACTAACAAATGTGAGAGAGAGCCGCTCGGTGTAAATATTCTTAACAGATCCTGAGAGAGTCTTTGGCAGGACAGTTACCTAGAAAGGAATGAATCTGCGCTATGTAATAATATTTGGGCACAGGTCGCCATGGTGTTAGCTGGGGCCTGACGTTGGATGTTAAGATGAATAAATAGCTCCACTCACTCTCTGGTCCTCAGTTTTCCTCCTCTGCAGAATGGGAAGACTAAAAGCAGCCTCCCCAGGTGCATGATGGAGAGGTCAGAGCAGGGGCCCTGGAGCGGCCACCTGGGTCCAGATCCCAGCGCTGTCACCCCTGGTAGTCCTTGGTGAGTCCCTCCACTCGCACCCCTCCTTTCCCGAGGTGCACAAACCGCATAACCAGGTGGCGTGAGAGCCAGGCATCAGGGGATGCGGGAGCCTGAGGCAGGGAGGGCTGGGTGGTGGGTCAAAGGCTCTATGCCCTGGCCAGCCTCCTGCATGAACCAAGTTGCAGACTAAATCTCAAACTCAAACTCTCCATTGCTATAAACATCGGGGGCAGTGCAAAAAGTTGCCACACCCCGGGGGCAGGTTCATCCCGTTAAATGATGCCACACACCCCCTTGGTGGCATTTTTGCCCCATCAGTCACAGACTGAACACCCCGTTCACTACTCCACACTGTCAGAGATTATCAGGGGACAATTGCTCATCCCTTTTATGCCTTTGGAGACTCTCTCTGAGAAGAACGAGAACAGAATCCTGTCCAGTAATCCATTAGGTGACTCAGTTTACCTATTCAGGATCAAAGCAATCCCACATAAATCACACTTGCTGGCTTCTGCCTCTGTACAACACTTTGCTGGCTACAGAGAGGCTTCTTTCGCTTTTCTGTCAATTGATTAAAAATAACTTGTGGGACTTTACTAGAAAATGCTGTGTTGTCTAACTTGAGTTATCATTTCCCACAAATCTGGAATGAACAGCTCTTCACTATTTTTTCAGTCGACACACGGTTCTTCTACGCCTGCTGTTGTGCCTATAACAACTATAAATCCTTTTTTATTGTGAGTAAAAGTCATTCAGAAAGTGTTTCAGCCATCCAGGCTTTCTTTTGTCCTATAGTATTTGAATTATTGCATTCATTGCAGAGAGCGTTCAACACCATAAAATTCCAACATGACAAGTGCGCTTGTACATGATCTCAAGTTTGTTGCATCAGGACTAAAATAACTGGTTGTATTGGCCATTAAAATGAGAGATGGGGGGGTGTTGGTGTTATGATCAGTTATTGGTCTTACCCAAAATAGATTTTTTCCATGAAACATTGCTTATGTATTTGATAAATATATCTTGAACAGCTGCTATTTGCAAGCCCTGTGCTTACAAGCAAGAATTGGTATTCATTCCTCAAATATCTTAGTGCGATGTACACGTAAACACACAGCGTTTTGTACTGTGTAAATAATTAGGGTAATCTGCACGTGTTAGAAATTAGGGGAAAGTATTCCCACTTGAGGTTCCATTTCTGGAAACATCATGAGAATCAGGTGATTAGAATATTACGGGAAATCGTAAAACTTTGCTGAGTGCACCCCCACTGAAAAGTTTCGTCCAGAACTGAAGTATGCATTTGACGGTTCCTGTGACGGCGTATCGCCTTGTTCTGCCATGTTCCCGACCTCGCTCCTC